TATGAATATCATGAGTGCTGAGAGGTTCCTTAGAATTCAAGTTCCTGTTGAATTACTCCCAAGAGTAATATTTCTTAGGAATGAGGGTATGAGTGTTGGTCGTCTTAAAGCTCTTGATCTTCACATTTAATTACTAGGAATGCTAGGAATTGCATGAACTAGTGATTAAGGACAAACTAATTTCACAGAGGGATCGGGTTTAAGTAATTTAGTGAGTGACGTTAACATTAATGCATAAAGAAGAATTCTTACATACATGAGAGGGAACTTGGCGAAATATAACCCCAACAACATACTCATCTCATATTAAACAACATCCGTTCATCATTGTGCTACTCTGGTATCGATCAACTTGCATTCATATTTAATTTTTTGTCTTTGCATCTGAAACCAATGATCTCGTTTTCTTTAAGTCTTAACTAATCGAGCTATCACACGACTGTCTAGTGCCGAGCGTCTCTTGGGACATGATACTTGGTCTTACCATTTTATATTACTTGTGCGATTCGGTACACTTTCCGATCCATCAACAAGTTTTTGGCGCCGTTGCTGGGGACTCACGGTTTAAACTATTTTATTTGTGTGATTCTTGATAACTTTGACTTTATTTTTATTGTTCATATTTTTATTTTTATCTTTAGTTTTGGGGTTTTGTTTTATTTATTTTTATTTTTATTATTTTTGTGCTAATAGTGTTTTCTAGGGTTTTGTGTTTAGTGCTTGCAGGATGCAATTCGGACAAGAAGTTAACTATATGGACACTCAATTCCACCAAGGTAATTTCAACCACTGGCGGAAACCTCACTTAAACATGGGTCAAAGTTAATTTGGGCAAGCTGCCAAAAAATTTGATAGGCTACCACAACAACAATGGCAGCAACAACCCTCTCTCTCAGAAACAATGGCAAAGATGGATGACACACTTCAACAGTTAATGCAGATGTCGGATTCTCATCACAAAAGCACTGAAGCGGCACTCAGAAGAATGGAGATGCAGCTTGGTGATGAACAAATTTTCAATCCCCGAAAAATGAGTCAAAAACTTGTTAACCCTCGGCAAGTGTAACCGAATCGTATCAAGTAATAATCNAACGCTTGCTTTGTTTAACTCAATCAATAGCATGATTTATGAATTGCATGAGTACCTGGAGGTTCCTTACAATTCAGGTTCTTGTTGAATTACTCCCAAGAGTAACATTTCTCAGGGATGAGAGTATGAGTCTTGGTCGTCTTAAAGCTCGTGATCTTCACATTTAATTACTAGGAATACTAGGAATTGCATGAATTAGTGATTAAGGACATGCTTATTTCGCCGAGGGATCGGGTTTAAGTTATTTTGTGAGTGACGTTAACATTAATGCATAAAGAAGAATTCTTACATACATGAGAGGGAACTTGGCAAAATCTAACCCCAACAACATACTCATCTCATATTAAACAACATTCGTTCATCATTGTGCTACTTTGTTATCGATCAACTTGCATTCATATTTAATTTTCTGTCTTTGCATCTGAAACCAATGATCTTGTTTTCTTTAAGTCTTAATTAATCGAGCTATCACACAACTGTCTAGTGCCTAGAGTCTCTGGGACACGATACTTGGTCTTACCATTTTATATTACTTGTGCGATTCGGTACACATGTCAATCCATCAACAGCTCTATGGTATCCTGGTAATTTTTAAGAGCTGTGAAAATAATTTATGAATGCTAGATGTGTCCTAGGTTGAAAATTTGGCCTAAGTTTGCATTTTTCGGAAATTAACGTAAATAATCGATTAACAAGAGATGATAATTGATTATCAAGGTCATTTTCACTCTAACGTACAAATTTGGCTCGCAAATAATCAATTATTTAAAGTGATAATCGATTAGCTTAAGTTCTTTTTTTAAAATAAACCTTTTTAATATTTTTTTTGGAATCTTTTTTTATTTATTTTAAGGGACTATTACTTTTAGGGGGAGTATTTTTTTTGAATGAAAAGGACACTTAAATTCTTTTTAACTAATTTAAGGGAGCATAAATATTAGATGATTTCTTTTCAAAAAGAGCGAGAATTTTTTTATTGACATCTCATGTGATAACTGGTACCTTTTTAGGGGGAGATATATAAGTTAGTTTGATATCTTGTTATATTTATTTATGCTCTAGATTATTTACTCTTTTCCCCTTATAATATTTGAAATGCATCAACTCTTTTATTGAGGGGGAGAACATTTTGAGGGGGAGAACAATTTAAAGGGGAGTACTTCTACTTGCTTTTTTCTTATGATAAAAAAGGGGAAGAAGAAAAACCTGAACAAACTTCTAGGGCAGTTACTACTAACCTGTTTGTATTCCATGTAGATACACAAAGATGCTTTTAAATAAAGGATTTTTTATCATCATCAAAAAGGGGGAGATTGTTACCAATGAGGAGCATTGGTGACCTGAAGATAATGATTTTTATGACGTTACAAAGTGAAGAATATGAAGACCCTTGTTGTATTAAATTTAAAAGCATTCATGAATGTTGGTCCGCGAGGAAAACCGAACGGTGTGCAACATCTAAAAGGATGAACGCTCTGTAACGGATGAAGGTTCAACAAAGTTAAAGATCGAACGGCGTCAAATACAAGATGAATGATATTGTGTCCAACTAACACTATAGAAGAAAAATTTAAGACTTGGAAGGTATACGAGAATTGAGTCGAGCGATGGAAAGCTGTGAGAGAGAAGAAGAAGGATCGAACGGTGGAGAGCATGACCGAGACTGAGCAGTAAGCACCGAACGCTGAAAAGATGTGAGGAACCAAGCCGAACGACAGAAGGTGATAAGGGGTCGAGCTGAATAATGGAAGGCAGTGAGGAATAGAGTCGATCAGCAGAAAGCTCTAAGGGTTCAAAGCCGAATAGTGGAAGGATGTGAAGATCTGGAGTCGATCGGTTGAAGAGTTAATATCCTAACTATTCCAAGTCTCGCAGATAATCGATTATCACTTACAATAATCGATTACCACTAGTAGTTGTGATATGTCTTTTCAGTTTCTGACCCTGCACGAACCTGGGCTTATAAATAGAGGTCTTCACAACTCTTAAAAGACAACTTTTCATTTTAAGAGTATTAGAGCTATGTGCCTAAGGGAAGCTCTCTGTGAGTGAACAGCGAATCTATGCCATTTGAGAATACAGTGCGTCTGAGGAAGTTCTTAAGTGATAGTTCTTTCTCTTGTCAAGCCTTGTGAACAGGAGAAGCTCGCGCTTTTGTGTCAAAGGTCAGAGTTGTTCTCTTCATGCTGGCAGAGCTATTTCTTTCAGTTCGTTTGTCGAAGGAAGATACTTTCGATTCATTTGTCGAAGGAAGGTTTTTGCCACTCTTAATTCCCATTCACTATCTTGTAATCTGTACAAATTGTGAAAAAGGTTAATCACTTTCATAGTGATTAATGACTGGACGTAGAATCTTTTGATTCGAACCAGAATAAAAATCATTTGTGTGATTTTTCTACTCCCTATACTCTTTACATTTTTTGCACATCAACTGTTTGATAAATTGTTTATAAGAAAATTAAAGGAACAATTTTTAAATTGACCGAACACGTTTTCCGGTATTTTATTCCGTTGCATGACTCGACGATACCGATTGCTTGTACCAATAGATATTATGGTCTAGGTCTCAGAAGATTACATAAATCCTATGGATGGCCAAGATAAGTTTTAAATTTCTTTTACTATATTTGTTTTATATTATGCTTCCTTTTTCCCTTTAATAAATTTTTTTTTGTTACTTTATTTTGTTTATGGCTTATATATTAAGGGGGGTATATTTTTTTGGGGAAGTACCTTTTTTACACTACTCCTTTTTATAATGATAAAAAAAGGAGGAGAAAATTTGTTTAAAGCTTTGATTTAATTTTCCTAAGTCCACTAATGCTCTCTCTTCCTTAAGTTGTGTATGAATACAAATATAGGTTATTACAAAAAGTTTTAAACAAAAGAGTTTTCGAACATCATCGAAAAGTGGAAGCTTATTAAAAAAATGATGAAGCCTTGATAATCAATTCTCAGGAATTCAAATTGCAAGAAGATTCTTATGAAGATTGGATGACTTGAGCCAAGCCCAATAGTAAGTCACAGGCCCATTACTCATGGAATGACCAACCAAAAGATTTAGACCCAAGTCCACCTTGAAATCAAAGGTCTCATCACGAGGAATGATTAGGAGACTTCAAGAGGACCTGGAAGACATTTCCAAGCAAGAAGCCTTGAAGATTTACTTCATTTGGAGCCAAGTGTAGAGTGACTTTTGGATTGGGTCGCGCTCAGCCCAAGACTAGATATATCATGTAAAAACTCCAACAAGCACTCAAAACACTATGAGCTTCCAATTTTAGGAGTAATCATCATCTTCAAGTGTACTCGTCATCTCCTAGGCGACTAAGGGTTATCGTTATCAAAAACACTCTAACACTCAAGTCATCCAAGTGTATCAACGAGTACTAAATGCAATAATTAACGAACATAATATATCTACCTCATAAAATATGTTATTTATACTATTATATATGGTAAACCTTTTGATGTGTTTGGACCATGTAATCCAATTACAAGTTAATTTTGAGTTAACTCTTTCCTCCTTAACTTAATTGTAAATTATGATAACCAAACCGTCTAGTTGGCATAATCCTCCTGACTTGGTCGAACATGTGGATCAAATACATGTCAACTTAATACGCAAACAAATACTCAATCAAAGAGTATGTCCTATGTTGTCATGGTCAAAATGTGTTTAGAGGTGTACAATCAAGTTTGTATTTTCCTTTGATAAATATCAATGCACAACTAATTACTTTACACCTTTATAATAATCAATTAAATATATTCTATACAATAATATTTTTAATTTCATCATGAATTAACGGTCTGTTTTTGTTATATTTAAAACATGTCTCTTGGTAAAGTGAATAATAATAACACTTCGCGTGGCTTTTCAGACACACAGAAATATAAAAGTAGCAGGTATAAAATTTCCATAGACACTGATCCTATCTAATGTTAAGAACACGCAGACTTTCGAACATATATTAATACTTTGGAGTTAATATGTGTCAGCCTGAAGTTGGGGGGTAACTGGTAGAGCAAAAACAGGGATGAGATTACAAGCTTACAACTACAGTTCTACAAGTTATCTTGCAGCTTGGAACAGACAATAGTTAACAAAATATTAAACAACAAATTTCGTATATTAAAATAAATGGAGGTTCAGACTGATAATTTCCATCACCCACATGGTTCCAACCACGGATTTAATCCTTTATCCAATTCTATTTAAAGATATTCTTTCATTCGGTCGAGTAGCCCTTTCAACCGGAGTTATCAACTGCGGCATAGTCATTCCCCCGGAAACAATGATTTCTGCATCAGCAACAACGCAAAAATTACACTATTGAATTACAAGGATACAAATGATACAAGAATCTCAACGTGCAGAAAATATCAAATGACAAAGTTCTAATTCGCTTTCAGTGAGGTAAAAAGAACATCATATACCAACAATATCTCTCCATTTACTTTGTCGAATAAGAATAATATATCACATACCAAAAATATCTCAACATATACATTGTTGAATAAGAATGATATGACCTATGTAAACACTGTACTTGACAATAAACAAACGGAAAGAGAATCTACCTATGCCTTCTCGAATAGAAAGATTTGGTCTTATAATATCTTTGGAGTTAACCAGAAATATATCGCCAATATACAGATGGTTCGTAGGGACAAAAACGCTACAAAGCTCTTCATCTTCATTATCTTTCTGCGATGGAGAAAAAGAGGATATAATCAGCGGTTAAATGTATCAAACAAAACAAAACAGTGAAAATAGTAGTTCCTCAGAAAATAACAGTTCATCGGAGGATGCCCAATATATAATGAGATTATTTTTGTAAGAATCTTTGAAATATAGTAACGTTGAATACTAGGATTAACTAAATTAATTCTATATTTATGTTATTAACCTAAAACTGGGTAAATCGATATTCTGGAATAAATATTTTGTAATTATGCTTTCTCTCCTATAAATTTAATAGTTCCACTGCGAGCGGAATTCATCCTATGTTTACTTGTTTCTCTCTGCTTCAACATGATATATATAAAAGGAGGCTAATTTTGGAATATCCCGGTGAACCCAATTTTCATCAGACTCAATTTTTTCTCATCACTTTTCCTGAAACATTATTCCAACACCACTATTATGATACAAAGACCATTATTGGCACCATCTCCTCAAGAATGGCCTAGCTATGGCAGGTTGCACGCACCTCCTCTCTCTCTACATGCTTCTCCCACGTGCTGCCCATATCTGCCACACATAGTGGCGCTCCCGGCATTTGTTCTTGACACTATCAACAGAGCTTCCTTGAGCCGGATTCGATCTTGTTTGGTGTCTGGACAACTCTTTTCATTTTTCACCACTTTTTTGTATTGTTTTTGGTACCTCTGGCACTGCAATGTATGACGCTGCTATTTTTACCAGCCACATCAGTGCCCCGCTCTTGTCTCAGTTATTGGATCAAAGAACTACACCTCTTGGGCTTCTCACATTGAACTTTGGCTTGTTGGACAGTACTATGAGCCGCATCTCACCTCATCCTCCGTAGAAGAAAGTTGACACTTAGTTGTGTTGCATCAATTGAGTCACCATTCACCCATCTCTTTGCTATGTATCTCGCACTCATAAAACCTATAAAGCTGTTTAGACATAGGTCAAATAACCTTTTACAAACACTTCTTGGTGGCTTTATCAGGTTCGTGAAGATTTCATGACAATTCTTAAAGCCCATGGGATTAAGGATTCTGTTAGGACTTAGAGAGTATAGGAAAGGAGAAAAGGGAAACAGAACAATTAACTGTTAATCAGTTAAGTGAGGGGGCAGAAGAAGGCCTATATATTAGGACCCTTTATTGTTTCAGTTAGCCAGTTGTGTAGTTTGTATGNCTTGGTCACAAACTTTAGAAGCTGGATGATTTTAGGGGCAATATGGAAGTTAACCCTAGGGAGGAATGTCAAGCTATTATCACTAGAAGTGACAAAGTTTTAGATGAGAGAAAAATAGAGAGGAAAGAAGAAAGGTTGAGTGAAAAAGAGAAAGATGTAAAGGGAGAGGAAGAAAAAGAAGAGAGAAAAAGTGAGGTTGAGAGAAAAGAAAAGGGCAAGAATGTGGAAGAAGAGAGAAAAGAAACATAAGAGGTTGAGAGAGAAAAGAAAAAAATTGAGAAAAATCTTCTGTACCTTAAGGAATGTTCCAAGGAGGAAAAAGAGAGGGAAGAAAAGAAGAAGAGAGAGAAGGAGGATGAGAGAAAAAAAAAGAATCATATGAAAAACCCGTTCCTCAACCAAAGAACTATCATTGGAAGGAGAAGGAAAAACAGTTTTAGCGTTTCATGGAAATCTTCAAGAAATTGGAGATTAAAATTCCTATGAATAGGACACTACAATAGGTTCCTGGTTATATTAAATTCCTGAAAAAATTCAACAAAAAGAAAAAATATCCAGAAAAGGGAACAATTGAGGCACAGGGCAATTGCAGTGGGTCAAGCTAGTGACGTTAAAGAAGCGCTTGTTGGGAGACAACCTAGTTTCTGATTTTTTTTATTGAGTTATGTGTGTGGATTTGATTTTGTTTTGCAGTAATGACAACATCTACTGATGGATGCTGGACAGCATTTACTAAGGGATGCTAAGAGGATTTAGATAACAACATCTACTGATGGATGCTGCTACGATGAATGATAGCCCAATTTTCTGAACTTTTCTTTTTAATTGATTTAATTGTTTGGTTTTGACTTGATTTTTTTTTCTTTGTGTGGTTGAGTTTTTTTTAGGTTAAATGCTGCTTTTGATGGCAGTAATGATAACATCTATTGATGGATGCTTCTACAACATCTACTGATGGATGTTTCTATGATGAGGATGATGAATGGCAACATCTACTAATGGATGCTGCTATGGAAGAAGACGGTGACTAGACATCTACTGATGGATGTTAGGTGATTAGGCATCTACTGATGGATGCCGATGAAGATGAGAAAGATTGGTGTCTATTGAGGGATATCAATGAAGATAAGAAATATTAGAATCTACTAATGGATGCTATGTGATTAGACATCTATTGATGGATGTTACTGACAACATCTACTGATGGATGCTATCATGATGAAGATCGTGTCAAGCTAGTGATGTTAAAGAAGCGCTTACTGGGAGGAAACCCAACTTTCTAAACCTTTCTTTTTAATCAATTGTTTTGTTATTGTACTTTGCTTGAATGAACCACACTGCCTTGATTCAACTGTGCTGTGTTTTGTGATGAGTATTGCTTTGTGATATTCTAGTGTATTGATTGATGTTTAGATGATGCATGATCTGCTGATATACAGGTGATGGCTCACAGTGTATGAAACAGGTGCTTGAGGTAAAATTTGATTGAGATACTGAGCAGGTTGTTTTTCTGAATTTTGGGACTTGAGAGTTTACCTGTGTGAGTTTTGGGCTTCAGAGTTTTTTGTGAATAATTGCTATTACTTTGGAATCACGAACGATTTTGCCCAAATTTTCTATGATTGAACTACTTGCTTGCAGGTTTCATATGATCAAGGCCTTCTTTTGTTGTCCCTTATTCTTTTAGCCTTCACATGAATTTTTGCCAATTGAAAAGAGAATAAATTCTTCTAACCTTTGAACCTTGAGCCTTATGTATGTTTGAAAAACCGTTTTTTAAAAATCTTTACCTTGAGCTTAGTTGAGAACATTTGATGAGGTATTGACAAAGGTTCAAGTTTGGGGTTGTTGGAAAGATTGAGAAAGGAAAAAGAAAAAGCATTGGGCTAAGCAGTGAGTACATGAAAAGCAAAAGCAAAACAAAAAGAAAAATGAAAAGAAAAGAAAAGAAAAGCTCAATGCAAGGGAAATCTGGGAAAAAGAAAGAGAGTTTGTGCTTGAATGATGAAATCATAAATGTCTCTCTTAACTCAAGGATTTTGCTGACCAGAAAAACCAATTTCATTCATAGAACAACCATGTTAAAAGCCATAAAAAGCCCTTGTGATGAGAACTTGCTTGTGAGTTTGTTTGATTGTGGTTAAATGAAAGGCAAAGTTAATTTGTCTGACATTGTGATAGCATAGTGCAAAAGACACCAACACCTCACCATACACTTTTGAGTGCTTGAGTGATACACTTTTGAGTGCTTGAATGAAACAATTTCCTTGGTGAGGAGTAGTTCTTTGAATTTATGATAACATCTTTGCTTGGTTGATTGATCATTCTTAAGGATAGCATCTGTTGAAGTATAAAAGCATCACATTGATTATGATTGAATTAAGGCATCTGCACATCTTGACTGACATCTTTATGATGAGTTGATAAAAGTGATTCTTGTCTTGGAAGGAAAAGTTTAGAAAAATATTGAATCATTGTAGTAATTGTTTTGAAAAGCTAAGTTACATTCTGTTTTGCTTGAGGACAAGCAATGTTCTAAGTTTGAGGTTGTGATAACGGTTGAAAATACTGTTATCTGTGATGTAATTTTGACACTAAATGCACACTTTTCTACTTAGAAACTTGCTTGGAATCATGTTTTTCTATTAACTTGTGTGAATAAGAGAGTTGAGGTTGATTTTTATGGTTTTATGACTAATTTCCCTTGTTTTGGCAGGAAATGAGATAATATGGAAAGCAGAGATGAAGTGCAAGGAGATGGAGCTCAGAAAGGCCTGAAAAAGAACCAGAAGGTAGGAATGCTCGAAGCTTGGGCGCCCTTTTTCGAGGCTTAAGCGCAGAAGAGTGTCGTTCACCGCCTGGGCGCCCCTTTTGGGCAATTGAGCGTCAAAAGCACGAAGCTTGGGCGTCCCTTTTTTAGGCTTAAGCGCTAGGAACCACCATTCACCGCCCGGGCGCCCTAAGTGGGGCGCTTGAGCGGTAGCAACACGTGCCTGTGCCTTGTTTATGTTCTGTTTTCGCTCTATTTAAAGGACCTAGACACCGTAGGTTTTGTATCATCTTTGGCAGGAGGAGCGCAACAGCATACTCTTTCACCCTCTAGAGGCGAATTTGGATGCGGGAGCTTCCATCTTCTACTTTTAGGGTTTTTTCTATCTCATTCTTCTCCATTATTCATCTAGTTTCACCATGTCTATTGTGAACTAAACTCTATTTGTTGTTGGAGGATGATGTAACCTTGTGAAGTCTCATGTATTTGAATTGATTCTTAATAATATATGCTTTTTCATTAATTGTTAGAGTAATTCATCTGTTACAACGCTTGCTTTGTTTAACTCAATCAATAGCATGATTTATGAATTGCATGAGTACCTGGAGGTTCCTTACAATTCAGGTTCTTGTTGAATTACTCCCAAGAGTAACATTTCTCAGGGATGAGAGTATGAGTCTTGGTCGTCTTAAAGCTCGTGATCTTCACATTTAATTACTAGGAATACTAGGAATTGCATGAATTAGTGATTAAGGACATGCTTATTTCGCCGAGGGATCGGGTTTAAGTTATTTTGTGAGTGACGTTAACATTAATGCATAAAGAAGAATTCTTACATACATGAGAGGGAACTTGGCAAAATCTAACCCCAACAACATACTCATCTCATATTAAACAACATTCGTTCATCATTGTGCTACTTTGTTATCGATCAACTTGCATTCATATTTAATTTTCTGTCTTTGCATCTGAAACCAATGATCTTGTTTTCTTTAAGTCTTAATTAATCGAGCTATCACACAACTGTCTAGTGCCTAGAGTCTCTGGGACACGATACTTGGTCTTACCATTTTATATTACTTGTGCGATTCGGTACACATGTCAATCCATCAACAGCTCTATGGTATCCTGGTAATTTTTAAGAGCTGTGAAAATAATTTATGAATGCTAGATGTGTCCTAGGTTGAAAATTTGGCCTAAGTTTGCATTTTTCGGAAATTAACGTAAATAATCGATTAACAAGAGATGATAATTGATTATCAAGGTCATTTTCACTCTAACGTACAAATTTGGCTCGCAAATAATCAATTATTTAAAGTGATAATCGATTAGCTTAAGTTCTTTTTTTAAAATAAACCTTTTTAATATTTTTTTTGGAATCTTTTTTTATTTATTTTAAGGGACTATTACTTTTAGGGGGAGTATTTTTTTTGAATGAAAAGGACACTTAAATTCTTTTTAACTAATTTAAGGGAGCATAAATATTAGATGATTTCTTTTCAAAAAGAGCGAGAATTTTTTTATTGACATCTCATGTGATAACTGGTACCTTTTTAGGGGGAGATATATAAGTTAGTTTGATATCTTGTTATATTTATTTATGCTCTAGATTATTTACTCTTTTCCCCTTATAATATTTGAAATGCATCAACTCTTTTATTGAGGGGGAGAACATTTTGAGGGGGAGAACAATTTAAAGGGGAGTACTTCTACTTGCTTTTTTCTTATGATAAAAAAGGGGAAGAAGAAAAACCTGAACAAACTTCTAGGGCAGTTACTACTAACCTGTTTGTATTCCATGTAGATACACAAAGATGCTTTTAAATAAAGGATTTTTTATCATCATCAAAAAGGGGGAGATTGTTACCAATGAGGAGCATTGGTGACCTGAAGATAATGATTTTTATGACGTTACAAAGTGAAGAATATGAAGACCCTTGTTGTATTAAATTTAAAAGCATTCATGAATGTTGGTCCGCGAGGAAAACCGAACGGTGTGCAACATCTAAAAGGATGAACGCTCTGTAACGGATGAAGGTTCAACAAAGTTAAAGATCGAACGGCGTCAAATACAAGATGAATGATATTGTGTCCAACTAACACTATAGAAGAAAAATTTAAGACTTGGAAGGTATACGAGAATTGAGTCGAGCGATGGAAAGCTGTGAGAGAGAAGAAGAAGGATCGAACGGTGGAGAGCATGACCGAGACTGAGCAGTAAGCACCGAACGCTGAAAAGATGTGAGGAACCAAGCCGAACGACAGAAGGTGATAAGGGGTCGAGCTGAATAATGGAAGGCAGTGAGGAATAGAGTCGATCAGCAGAAAGCTCTAAGGGTTCAAAGCCGAATAGTGGAAGGATGTGAAGATCTGGAGTCGATCGGTTGAAGAGTTAATATCCTAACTATTCCAAGTCTCGCAGATAATCGATTATCACTTACAATAATCGATTACCACTAGTAGTTGTGATATGTCTTTTCAGTTTCTGACCCTGCACGAACCCGGGCTTATAAATAGAGGTCTTCACAGCTCTTAAAAGACAACTTTTCATTTTAAGAGTATTAGAGCTATGTGCCTAAGGGAAGCTCTCTGTGAGTGAACAGCGAATCTATGCCATTTGAGAATACAGTGCGTCTGAGGAAGTTCTTAAGTGATAGTTCTTTCTCTTGTCAAGCCTTGTGAACAGGAGAAGCTCGCGCTTTTGTGTCAAAGGTCAGAGTTGTTCTCTTCATGCTGGCAGAGCTATTTCTTTCAGTTCGTTTGTCGAAGGAAGATACTTTCGATTCATTTGTCGAAGGAAGGTTTTTGCCACTCTTAATTCCCATTCACTATCTTGTAATCTGTACAAATTGTGAAAAAGGTTAATCACTTTCATAGTGATTAATGACTGGACGTAGAATCTTTTGATTCGAACCAGAATAAAAATCATTTGTGTGATTTTTCTACTCCCTATACTCTTTACATTTTTTGCACATCAACTGTTTGATAAATTGTTTATAAGAAAATTAAAGGAACAATTTTTAAATTGACCGAACACGTTTTCCGGTATTTTATTCCGTTGCATGACTCGACGATACCGATTGCTTGTACCAATAGATATTATGGTCTAGGTCTCAGAAGATTACATAAATCCTATGGATGGCCAAGATAAGTTTTAAATTTCTTTTACTATATTTGTTTTATATTATGCTTCCTTTTTCCCTTTAATAAATTTTTTTTTGTTACTTTATTTTGTTTATGGCTTATATATTAAGGGGGGTATATTTTTTTGGGGAAGTACCTTTTTTACACTACTCCTTTTTATAATGATAAAAAAAGGAGGAGAAAATTTGTTTAAAGCTTTGATTTAATTTTCCTAAGTCCACTAATGCTCTCTCTTCCTTAAGTTGTGTATGAATACAAATATAGGTTATTACAAAAAGTTTTAAACAAAAGAGTTTTCGAACATCATCGAAAAGTGGAAGCTTATTAAAAAAATGATGAAGCCTTGATAATCAATTCTCAGGAATTCAAATTGCAAGAAGATTCTTATGAAGATTGGATGACTTGAGCCAAGCCCAATAGTAAGTCACAGGCCCATTACTCATGGTATGACCAACCAAAAGATTTAGACCCAAGTCCACCTTGAAATCAAAGGTCTCATCACGAGGAATGATTAGGAGACTTCAAGAGGACCTGGAAGACATTTCCAAGCAAGAAGCCTTGAAGATTTACTTCATTTGGAGCCAAGTGTAGAGTGACTTTTGGATTGGGTCGCGCTCAGCCCAAGACTAGATATATCATGTAAAAACTCCAACAAGCACTCAAAACACTATGAGCTTCCAATTTTAGGAGTAATCATCATCTTCAAGTGTACTCGTCATCTCCTAGGCGACTAAGGGTTATCGTTATCAAAAACACTCTAACACTCAAGTCATCCAAGTGTATCAACGAGTACTAAATGCAATAATTAACGAACATAATATATCTACCTCATAAAATATGTTATTTATACTATTATATATGGTAAACCTTTTGATGTGTTTGGACCATGTAATCCAATTACAAGTTAATTTTGAGTTAACTCTTTCCTCCTTAACTTAATTGTAAATTATGATAACCAAACCGTCTGGTTGGCATAATCCTCCTGACTTGGTCGAACATGTGGATCAAATACATGTCAACTTAATACGCAAACAAATACTCAATCAAAGAGTATGTCCTATGTTGTCATGGTCAAAATGTGTTTAGAGGTGTACAATCAAGTTTGTATTTTCCTTTGATAAATATCAATGCACAACTAATTACTTTACACCTTTATAATAATCAATTAAATATATTCTATACAATAATATTTTTAATTTCATCATGAATTAACGGTCTGTTTTTGTTATATTTAAAACATGTCTCTTGGTAAAGTGAATAATAATAACACTTCGCGTGGCTTTTCAGACACACAGAAATATAAAAGTAGCAGGTATAAAATTTCCATAGACACTGATCCTATCTAATGTTAAGAACACGCAGACTTTCGAACATATATTAATACTTTGGAGTTAATATGTGTCAGCCTGAAGTTGGGGGGTAACTGGTAGAGCAAAAACAGGGATGAGATTACAAGCTTACAACTACAGTTCTACAAGTTATCTTGCAGCTTGGAACAGACAATAGTTAACAAAATATTAAACAACAAATTTCGTATATTAAAATAAATGGAGGTTCAGACTGATAATTTCCATCACCCACATGGTTCCAACCACGGATTTAATCCTTTATCCAATTCTATTTAAAGATATTCTTTCATTCGGTCGAGTAGCCCTTTCAACCGGAGTTATCAACTGCGGCATAGTCATTCCCCCGGAAACAATGATTTCTGCATCAGCAACAACGCAAAAATTACACTATTGAATTACAAGGATACAAATGATACAAGAATCTCAACGTGCAGAAAATATCAAATGACAAAGTTCTAATTCGCTTTCAGTGAGGTAAAAAGAACATCATATACCAACAATATCTCTCCATTTACTTTGTCGAATAAGAATAATATATCACATACCAAAAATATCTCAACATATACATTGTTGAATAAGAATGATATGACCTATGTAAACACTGTACTTGACAATAAACAAACGGAAAGAGAATCTACCTATGCCTTCTCGAATAGAAAGATTTGGTCTTATAATATCTTTGGAGTTAACCAGAAATATATCGCCAATATACAGATGGTTCGTAGGGACAAAAACGCTACAAAGCTCTTCATCTTCATTATCTTTCTGCGATGGAGAAAAAGAGGATATAATCAGCGGTTAAATGTATCAAACAAAACAAAACAGTGAAAATAGTAGTTCCTCAGAAAATAACAGTTCATCGGAGGATGCCCAATATATAATGAGATTATTTTTGTAAGAATCTTTGAAATATAGTAACGTTGAATACTAGGATTAACTAAATTAATTCTATATTTATGTTATTAACCTAAAACTGGGTAAATCGATATTCTGGAATAAATATTTTGTAATTATGCTTTCTCTCCTATAAATTTAATAGTTCCACTGCGAGCGGAATTCATCCTATGTTTACTTGTTTCTCTCTGCTTCAACATGATATATATAAAAGGAGGCTAATTTTGGAATATCCCGGTGAACCCAATTTTCATCAGACTCAATTTTTTCTCATCACTTTTCCTGAAACATTATTCCAACACCACTATTATGATACAAAGACCATTATTGGCACCATCTCCTCAAGAATGGCCTAGCTATGGCAGGTTGCACGCACCTCCTCTCTCTCTACATGCTTCTCCCACGTGCTGCCCATATCTGCCACACATAGTGGCGCTCCCGGCATTTGTTCTTGACACTATCAACAGAGCTTCCTTGAGCCGGATTCGATCTTGTTTGGTGTCTGGACAACTCTTTTCATTTTTCACCACTTTTTTGTATTGTTTTTGGTACCTCTGGCACTGCAATGTATGACGCTGCTATTTTTACCAGCCACATCAGTGCCCCGCTCTTGTCTCAGTTATTGGATCAAAGAACTACACCTCTTGGGCTTCTCACATTGAACTTTGGCTTGTTGGACAGTACTATGAGCCGCATCTCACCTCATCCTCCGTAGAAGAAAGTTGACACTTAGTTGTGTTGCATCAATTGAGTCACCATTCACCCATCTCTTTGCTATGTATCTCGCACTCATAAAACCTATAAAGCTGTTTAGACATAGGTCAAATAACCTTTTACAAACACTTCTTGGTGGCTTTATCAGGTTCGTGAAGATTTCATGACAATTCTTAAAGCCCATGGGATTAAGGATTCTGTTAGGACTTAGAGAGTATAGGAAAGGAGAAAAGGGAAACAGAACAATTAACTGTTAATCAGTTAAGTGAGGGGGCAGAAGAAGGCCTATATATTAGGACCCTTTATTGTTTCAGTTAGCCAGTTGTGTAGTTTGTATGTGTTGACCGGTCTTAGCACCAGGTGGAGGAGGTTAAGCTCCTAAGATACAGTGTATTCTTGATTCATTGTTGTGAATACCATTCATACTATTCCTTCTTTACAAGTTCTTGATTGTTGTATTTGAGATAGAGAGAGAGCTTGTTAGGAATTCCTTCCCGAATCCCTAACAAAGTGGTCCGACCTGCCGGATCGGAGTGGGGGTGAAGGATCAAGAAGTAATCAAGAAACTACCGGATTCCCATTAGGAGAGGGGTGTCGGATTCTTGGGGAAAGGAGCGTGATGGAAGGAAGAGACAATTCTTGGGAAAGGAGGATCAGCGAACAGAAAAGGGAGCTAGCAAAATGGGAAAAAAAATATGCAAGAAATGCGGCAGGAAACTAGAGAACTCTTGCGAGTTCTTGGAGGAAGGGTGTGGACCCAGGAAAAGGGATTAGAAGGCAGTCCAGGGTCTGTAGATGAAGATCAACATTCTGTTAACGAGAATCAGAGGAGAAGGGAATGCTCGGAGGAGGAACTGGATGAAGACCGAAGAGACGTCCAACCTAACCGGGGAAAAAGGGTAGAACTACCCAATTTCGAAGGGTTTGATCCGTTGGGGTGGGTCTCTAAGGCAGAGAAGTTCTTTGAGTTGCAAGGAGTGGCAGAGGAGGAAAAAGTGCGCCTAGCTGACATCAGTATGGAGGGGAGTGTTGGCTACTAGTTCAGAGCCTAGAAGGAGAAAGCCAAGAATCGTTCTTGGGAAAGTCTGAGGGGGGCAGTGGTGGTGCGATTTGGAGAATGGAACGGGGTACCATCTTTGAAAGGGTGGCGGCCAGTAAGCAGTCGGGAACCGCGGAAGAATACTTCCCAACATCGAACGTGAACGATCGTACAGTCAAAACGGTCTACTAGTCATTGGCCGAGCAATCCGAGGCCATAGAAGACCAGTCGTCTTGGGGACGAACAAGCGGTGAGGTGAAAGAAAGGGTTGGTGGCAATGAAGTCGTCTCGGGGTTTTAGCTGGAGCAGAGAGAATGAGTGAGAGTGAGAATGAGAAGAGAGTGGTTGAGTATGTTGGAGAAAGAAAGAGTTTGAGAGTACTAAAATGGTTACATTAGTGGAATGGAGGGTGGTGTGAGATGTGGTTGGGTTTTAAATTGGAATTGAGTGAAAAATTGTTACTGCATGGGAGTGTTCTTTTGTTACGTAATTATTAGATAGGGGGAGAAAGAATTTAAGAAGAATAAAAGGAAAATAAAGGGAAGAAAATAAAAGAGTAGAATGATTGGTAAATAAGAAAAGAAGAATGAAGGTTGTATGAAGGAAGGTTCATACAGGGTTGTTACGGAAAAGTGGTTCTTATTTGGGTGAAATTAAAAGTGTGGATCCAACTTTGTATATAAGAAGAAGAAGAAAAATGTTCAGTTAGGTAGTACTTTAGTAGGAACAATGACTGGATCGTGATGTGATATTAAAAAGCTGACAATCAATTTGACGCACTGACAAAAAAAAGAGAAAAGTCTGCTGTTAAGAGGAGCAGAAGAGAGAGAGAAAAAAGTTAACGCTGTTTGTGCATATTTAACGGAATGGACAACGTTGACGCAAAATTTACCAAGTAAAGACCAAGTTCAAGCACTTTTAAAAATAGGGACGGAATTGACATTATTTAGCAAAATTAGGGACAAAATAGGCTATTAAACCAATAAAAAACAATGATTCTAACAAAAATAAAACAGATTCTAACAAATATGTTGTAATTAGAGAAGATATCTTTAGAATCTTCCTAATTAAAGAAAATAAATGTATAATCTTCTATTTTATTTTGTTTCCCTAGTTTCTTTTTTAGGAGAATTAGAATGTTACAAATAGAGGATATGAGAATGTACTTTTATGATTTAGAATAATAAAAATAAGTCTTATTTTCTACTTGGTGTCAGAGCTCACGATCTTGGAGCGCCATTCCGCTGCACAACCGTGCCATCGCAGCTGTCCGACCACCCCTGCTGCTGTCATTGCCAGTTGGGGTCGTTGATAGGGCAGAAAGGTGCGCCCAACATGGGCGACCACAACGCCAGATGTCGCTCCAGAAGAGAAGCCGCCACGCGCCGCCACCGTCGCCGGAGCATGTGGCCCATGCACCCACCTCTAGTGAGACCCACTCGCCGCCGCCGTCGCCACAGAAATAGTTGTCGTAGTCTCCTGAGTCTGTTCCTAGGGTTGGTGTCAACCCGTTTAGCCTATATTTGAGTAGATCAAAGTTTTAAGTTCTGCTCCTTTTTTCGGTGTGACCCACACGCCGTAGTCGTCTCGGAAAAGGTTAGGAACCCTCCTGGTTGCATTCTACGGAATGTATGAAGTAAAAATTATTCCTTTGGGACCTAATGACCTACCAAATACAGGGGGTACCTATCGATTGGATGGTCAAAATTTCTTACAATAGAGCCGAGCCAATTTACTCGAAGGATTCTCAAGGGTCGTTCAAGACTTGATCACATAGATGGAGGAGGACCAGGACCAGACGACACTCATTTTTCTATTTGGGACAATGAAGATTCATTAATTATGACTTGGATGTGGCAATCCATGAATTTTGAGATAAGTAGAAATTATATGTTTCATTCTTCTGCAAAAGAAATATGGATGATTTACAGAGTACTTTTTCATTAAAACCACCACTAGATCTTGATATGAAAGCTTATAAGGAGGAACTAGAGCGCTTGAAAGCAATGGTTGAATCAATGAGTAAGCCCTATAGATCATGTACTCTGTCCATAAAAGGTAAGATTTGTCTCAACACTATTGGTCATGTGTCTCAAGGTATTTGTATCCTTGATTCGGGTGCAACTGATCATATGACACCTTTTAGTGTGTCCTTCGACTCATATGGTAAAAGAAATAAAGAACTTATTACAGTTGCGAATGGTCAAGGTATACCTATATGTGGCTCTGGGAATATAATTTTGGACTCATCTATTGATTGTATTGAAGGATGTTTTACATGTTCCTCAATTAGCTAATAGTGTGATCTTTGTGCAAAAACTCAAAGGATTTAAATTTTTCAATAACATTTTTTCCAACTTATTGTGTTTTTCAGGACCTTTCCATGGAGAAGACGATTTTAACTGCTAAGGAGCAGAGTGGGTTGTATTTTTTAGAGTTTGATGACTAAAGCAGCACAAAAATCATGAGTCAACAAGCTACATCTGAGACGAGGGCAAATTCCCAAATATGGTTACATCATCAAAGGCTTGGGCATCCTTCATTTAGTCTTATCAAGTCCTTATTTCCCCATTTGTTTACCAAAGAGTCTGTTGAGTCTTTTAATTTTGTCAATTGTCAAAACACCATCGTGCATCTTATCCTGTTAGTGATAAAAAGAGTATTTCTCCATTTGATTTAATTCATTCTGATGTTTGGGGTCTTGTCATAGATTCTATTTCCGAAGCCAAATGGTTCGTTACCTTTATTAACGATTATACCTGTGTCACGTGGACATACCTTATGAAAATTATATCCGAATTTTCTCAAATTTTTGTTAATTTTTTCCATCTTGTCGAAAATCAATTTGGAAAAAATATCAAAAGAATCAGGTCTAATAATGGTACTGAATATGTGAATCATGAATTTCTCAACTTTGTCTCATAATGGTATTGTTCATGAACTAACATGTGTTAACACCCCTCAACAAAATGGGGTTGTAGAAAGAAAAAATCGTCATCTTCTTGAAGTAACTAGAGTTCTTCTTTTTCAAATGTATGTTACAAAATTTACTAGGGAGAAGATGTGTTAATTGTCACCTATCTCATCAACAGGTTACCCACTCGTATCTTAAATGGCATTAGTCCTATAGAGTCTCTATTGTCTTTTAGTCCTTCTTTTCCCCTAATAATGAGTCTACCTAGTCGAGTCTTTGGAAGTGTGTTTTTGTTCACTCTCGTCATCCTAACCGTGGTAAATTAGATCCCATAGCTCTTAAATGTGTCTTTATTGGGTATCCTTCTAATAAAAAAGGTACAAATGTTATCATCCTCAGAGTCGTCGTGTCTTTATCACCATGGATGTCACCTTTCATGAAACGCAATCCTTTTATTTCAGTCCACCACTTCAGGGGGTAAAAGCACTTGAAGTGGATGAACTCTCCGTCTTGTCATTACCATGTTTGTCTTTGTAGGATGTCCAAGACCTGAGTACTGTGTCCACAATGAGGAAGAATAGGAAGACAATTTTTTTGGCAAAACATATGAAAGAAGAAAACAACCCTCTTCGACTCTCGAGCAAGAAAAATTGTCTAATTCAGAGGTGAGGCTCCCTGAAGATATCAATGAGGAGGAGGCACGTATTACTGAGGATTTACCCATTGCATTGAGAAAGGAAAGAAAGATCATGTGCTAAATATCCTATTTCTCAGTATGTTTGCACTAACAATCTCTCTAATAAGCACATAAGTTTTATTGTTGCCATTGATGCCATAGAAATTTCTACCTCAATCCAAGAGGCCATGAAACTTAAACATTGGAATCAAGCCATGAAAGAAGAGATGAATGCATTAGAAAGAAATTCAACTTGGGAGATTGTTGATA